GGTGTTTCGCGAATTTACAGCTGACTTCCTTACTTGCTGACATTGGGTTGAACATCCAAGAAGCGCACGCATTTTCGACAGTTGATGGCTACTCCTTAGATGTATTTGTTGTTGATGGTTGGCCATATGAGGTACTTGCCATGCACACCTTTTATTACATAAGGCTTCCATTAATCAGGAACATATTTGAAATACACAACGAACTTGATCGATTAACACACTGTTCATAATTTTCAGGAAACGGAGCAGCTCAGAGAAGCGTTGGTAAAGGAAGTTTCCAAGATTGAGGTAATTCCCTGAGTTGATTTGTAGTGATGGCAAGTGTCTTCTTATGGAGTTTGCAGCTTATAATAAATCTGGGTTTCTCTCACTCACAATGCTCACTGCTGAATGTGGTGTTCTACAAGAGTTTTTATGAAATTATTTGTACTTGAATTGATTATATTTCCAGTCTCTTGATTTTCTTGTTTCTTGTTTAGTGGAGATGTCATATTATTTGATGAGGATCGGGCAAGCTTTGCAAGATACTGCAAGCAGAATATTCTCTTCTAACCAATGGTCTATTTGCTAAAATGATCATCTCAAATTGAAGTTAATTATATCTAAAGCCAGTGAATTGGGCGGGATGCAATGAAATGTTTTATAAATTGCTTTCCAATATTTGATGTAATTTCCTTCATCCAGTTTCAGATCTTTTTACCATTTGGTTATTTTATGGGGTGGAGGAGGGGCTGCTGTTGGTAGAAATAAAACCTAGTCACAAGTTAATTAGTGACAAGAAAACGAAAAAAGGAGTTAAATTCAGGAATTCCCAATTAGAAACTCTTATAGTACTGGAAATGGGCAAGAGCAGGCCATGTATTGAATAAGAATTTATCCCGATGGTTAAGTTGTCTGTTAGGAACCTTGTTTTGTTGACATGTATTTTTTATCTTCATCATTTTAAAATTGTTTCATCTATTTCTTCCACGAGCAACCTCCTCAAATTAGATGATTTGCCTTGTATATGACAGGCATAACGCTACTAGTAATGTTTTGAATATGGTAGAACACATGTAACTGAATTTACTTCAGCAATAATTCACCATAGGTTGCTGATGGGTACCATTTTGAAGTTCTCGGATTTTTCTTCTGCTCATTCTTTAGTTTTCCAATGCAATAAGATAATTGATAATGTCTAGTTTATGCCATAATCTCTTCACCACATCAATTGACTAGAACCTATTCATGTTTTTCCTTGTGCGGTTTCATTCATTGTCTTGTTTCGATATGCATTCCAATTTACTTTAAATGTGTTTACAGGATCACGAGCAATTTAGGACTAAAGACGATACTAATCATGTTGCAATACCCAATGACGGGACTGATGTGTGGGAAATTGATCCTAAATATTTGAAGTTTGAGAACAAAGTTGCCTCTGGATCATATGGTGATCTGTAAGTTAAATGTTTTTTAGATGCAATTTCTGTTGATGTTTGGTTTCTTATTCAACTGTTTCATCCTATTTGCTTAGGTACAAAGGTACATACTGTAGTCAGGAAGTGGCTATCAAAATTCTCAAGCCTGAGCGACTAAATTCAGACTTGCAGAAAGAATTCGCCCAAGAAGTTTACATTATGAGGTCTGACAAAATGTCTTCAGCTACGTAGTTTTTCTACAACTCTAGGTTGTTTCTTGGGTTTGGTGTTTCCTTGTTTTTACATATTCTTTGAACCTGTAGGAAAGTTCGACACAAGAATGTTGTACAATTTATCGGTGCATGCACCAAGCCTCCAAGTTTGTGCATTGTAACAGGTAAATGTCACTGAGTTTTGAAACATATGTTATGTTTATTTATTCCTCGTATGAATTTCTTTCTTTTTTTCCCTTTAATTTTTCATCTGCCATTCAACATTTTGTATCTTAATTTTTCTTTTCTTGGTAAATAGAATTCATGTACGGAGGAAGTGTCTATGACTACCTGCACAAGCACAGGGGTGTTTTTAAGCTGCCAAATTTACTTAAAGTAGCAATAGATGTTTCTAAAGGAATGGATTACTTGCACCAAAATAATATAATCCATAGGGACTTGAAGGCTGCAAATCTTCTCATGGATGAAAATGAAGTAAGGTTCTTCTTTACCATATTTAATTTTTTCAGCAAGTGCTTTGTTTACTATTCGATTGGCTTCAGTGATGTTTTTTACCTAGTCTTTTTCATCCTCCTCCACATCTTCTACTCTCATCATGATCACGGAGGAAGATAAATCAAATTCAACTGAAGCTTTGTACCGTATGTGTATCTATAAGAAACATCTGTTAATTTCATTTCAGGTAGTCAAGGTTGCTGATTTTGGTGTTGCCAGAGTGAAAGCTCAGACTGGAATTATGACTGCGGAAACTGGGACCTATAGATGGATGGCTCCTGAGGTAAACCTTTGTTTTCATTACACCTTATTCTGAAAGTGTTCCCAGCTTTACCAATATCCTTTTCAGTACTAGTGTGCAAACTATCTTGATATTATTCTTAATGTTTAATTTGCTTCTTGCTGTCACCGAGAGAGATCACTTGTTTACCATTGTTAAATAATCCATAGCTTTACCCTCCCCTCCCCCATGATTCTTGTTGAAACTTTGAGGCATCATTAGTTGTGCTGGTGGCAACCACCATGCATCTTCTAAATGGTTCATCTCGCCGTTTTCTTACAACTTTTATCTTGCATTGAAGGTCATTGAGCACAAGCCGTATGACCACAAGGCTGACGTATTTAGTTTTGGGATCGTGTTATGGGAGTTGTTAACTGGAAAGGTACTGCTGGTCGTTTTGGTATAATATCCCCTCTCTTTTCAGTAAGTTTCTGATCTTGCAAAATTGATAATTTTTGCATATTTGGCTTCCCAGATTCCATATGAATTCTTGACCCCTTTACAAGCAGCTGTTGGAGTGGTTCAGAAGGTAAAAATCCTTTCCAACAAGCATTTTTTCCCTTATTTCATATGATGAGTCCATGATTATAAGAATTTGTGTGGTGATTTTCATTCATGTGTTTTCAGGGTCTACGGCCTACCATACCCAAGAATACTCAACCAAAGCTTGTCGAACTGCTAGAAAAATGCTGGCAACAGGATCCAACTGTAAGGCCTGACTTCTCGGAGATTATAGAGATCCTGCAACAAATAGCAAAAGAGGTATTTAGCATTTGTGGTTTCTGCTACAAATCGCTTTATATATCATACATGTTTCTTTACATTTTCATCGCAAGCAATAAGACTTGCAAGTTTTTATAACAGGTTGGGGATTATGGTGAATGGCGCAAGGAGAAGTCGCCTGGCCGATTTCTATCTGTGCTCAGGAGGAAGTAAAGGGAAGTCTTGCTGATGCTCATAACCTGAACAACAAGCTAATCGAACCAGCCATTTTCCATCCTTCTCATTACCATTACTGTACACTATTTTATTTGCCATCCTGCCTATTATCTTACCTATACATTTAAGCTATGGAGAGTTGCAATCTTTTGGCGCGCCTTTCAAATGAGATATCAATGTCTGCGTGACAATCATGTAACTCTAGCAGCTCCTCGTTTCAAAAACTTGGGGAAAGTGAAGAAAAGGAGGAGAAAATGTGGTTTTGTTTGTAACATAGACTTTTGATCTCGGGAGAAAATATACTTTTGTTATTTTGAGAGAGCTTATTTCTGCTTTTATTGTTGATAATCCCTTGTGTTGCGTTGAGTTAAAAAGTGTTTTTTTTCTTTTTTTTTGGGTGTTGGAATTTTAAATAGGAGCGAAAATGTCAACATCTTGAAAACAAGAGTGAGAAGTGTCATTTTTTTATTTCAAGAGATTTTAAATTCAAATATCTTCTTTGTAATTAAAAGAAAATAATTTTGTTGATTTAGAATGACGAAGATTGTGTAATTTATATGATTTTAGTTATATTTTATTGCTTCTAACCGTTGTATTTTTTTTTTTTTATCGTGTTCATGTCTTAGAAATACATCATTCAATGATTGATTTTTAGATTACTTCCAATATTTCTAGATATTTCTAGATAAATGCTTCCAAATTCAAACCACTGTGTAAGCAATCTTGGAAGAGCTTGAAAGAGATTCTTGTGGCCCCAATGCAGCCCCTTAGCATAGAATAAAAGTACATCAGGTGCGTAAGTCCACCATCGCCTCTCAGTGTTTGAAGGAGAAATAGAAGTGGAAGTCAATGGTACCAGTCTGGGACCTAGTCATAATTGTCTTCCTGACGTTTCCTGGCATCAACAAGCACCTCATCGCAATATTTAGCCAAATAGAAGGATCCTTTTTCCCACTTAGGCTGCATATCCCTCACCCTGGCATAAAGAGTTAAGAGATCTTTCTTTTGTTTCTGCCCCGTATAATGGATCCATCTGGAATATAAAAGTAGAGTCTTTGCAACATCTAGATTCTCACTCGAAGCTTGAGTATCACAAAATGCAGGTTGGGGATTCAATGGTACCAATGAAAGGCTAGTAATTGAAGACCTAGCAGCAGCACCTACGACCTGTTCAGGCATGTGAAGGAGAGTTTGCTGCAACCTGCAATGGCACCATCTGATCGCCTAGTACTCCACAGAACCTTGGCCTTTTCCATGTGAACATTAGGTACACCCGAGGCCTGGGCTTCCAGAATTGCTCGGTTTGCTGTCTCATAGTGACCAGCCAAGCGACAAAGCTTTGCATACTGAAGCCAGCAGATCCCAACATGGGCACCGAGACTACTGGCACCAAATACCGATCTTTGGAAAGCCAAAAGAGGCTCCCTTGCCCAAAGGGATGGTTGAGTAAATCTGAGCCGATGTTCCCAATTCCCCATCAATTTAGTGAATTCTAGATGACCCAGATGGAATTTTATGACCAAGAAAGAATCATCAACAAGAAGAGCTTGGAAGTCCTCCAATTCACGTAGTAGGTGAAGTTTCACGATAGACGGGTAATTAAGCCCGCACGCAAGAATCCATGCCAGCAGCAGCAAGTGGAGCAGTCAGAGCTTGTTAGGATAGTGCAATCTTCTCAGCAACTGAGAACTGATCCTTCTCCATCATGGACTCGAGAATCTTTGCAACATCCATGTCAAAGGAAGCATTACTTTCAGAACCACTACAAAGTAAACCATCATGATCTGCCCCGTTGATGTACTCATCTGTCAAGTCCCACCTGCCCAGCCTCCATGCTGCTTCTGACAGCGAAGCAGTCCCATCCAGTGATGCCTCACAACCTGCTATCTTAAGCAATTCTTGTATTGCCAGTGCAGCTGAGTCCTGAACAATGGGATCAGGTGCAGCTCTAAAAGCCCTAGCCAAGTGTTTGTGGATCAGCTAAAATATGAGATCATCATCTGAACATTCAATTTTGAAGCGCTGGGATGAAATTCCCTTTACTTTAGCAGGGTCAACCCCACCCAATGCTCCGAGACAATCAGCACAGACCACCTTCTGCCGCTGTCCTACTGCAGTCCTTAATTCTTCTGGACATCCTCTGAGTAATGCTGCGATCAACGAGCTCACAATGTCCACCAGTGATCAGAGATGTAATATCTCCCCTTCTCAGATTCAGTAACTTGCTTAACTCACACACCACCATATACCTAACATTCAAGTTCTCATGGTTAAAACCATCAACAACATCTCGCAATTGATCCTTCAAAGTCATTGACCCACGTGCTTCTTGAATAGCTTTGTTCACTTCCATTAGCTCAAGAATACTAGCTAATAGGGGAAATTCATGAATATGCTGCTTCAGGATGGTTCTGTTCTTTAACACAAGTTCTTCCAAAGAATACTAGCTAATAGGGGAAATTCATGAATATGCTGCTTCAGGATGGTTCTGTTCTTTAACACAAGTTCTTCCAAAATGTTCACTACTTTGTTCAAATGTGTAGAAGGATTTTCTTTGTATCTCTCCAAGAAGGGAATAAGGGCAGCAAAAACTTGAGAAATGACATGTATAGTGTTAGATGGTGACTTGTTTGCCAATTGCTCTGTGAAAAAGTGCAAGACAGATAGGCCCTCGTTTTGCAGTGATTCTTTATCAATAGCATGCATAAGAAGGACCATTAATTTTGGCACATAAGTACCAAGCTGTGATCCCATCATTTCAATTAGCATTTTAATACGTCGCAAAGCTTGTGTCTGCAGCGAAAGATCCTCTGCATGAAGCATTTTTCTATCAATGCCATTAAGGAGACCAACAAAATGATTCCTCAGAAAGCCTGGTAGATCTTCACCACATGTCAGAACTCTGGCAATTTCTTATGATGCCGTCATTCTTCATCAAATGTGCTCACTCATAGTTTGTGGAGTTGCATTGTACAACTAACAAATGGCAATCCAAGAACAAGGTAAACCAAAAGTGCTTTAAATGGATTTCGAGTATAAAATCAAAATAGCTAGCCAATAAGATGGCTGTATCAGATTAAGAAAAAAACTAAAACAGGGGTTTTTGTTGTGCTCTCCTCACAAATCAATATTTATTCAGACAGTGCTTCTTCTTTTTTCTTTGATTTCTTTTTCCATCAATGTCGTTTTTTTTTTAATCTCAATTTTTAATATCACATTTGTTTTTTATTGGATTATTTTATTCTCATAAATTACAAGTTAATTTGATTAATTTATTTTTTTAATTTTATCCTTTAATATTAGATTAATTAAGAATTAAGTTTTATGATTTTTTTTTGTTTACTTTATATTAGGTTATTTCGACGTTATGACTTGATAATAATACTTAACAAATTAACCTGAGTTAACTTAAGTTGATTTTTTTTTAATTAATTTTTTTTTATAATATTATCATTCAACATTGCATCAGTTAGAAATTGAGCTTCATAATCTGTTTTGATTTACTTTCAATGGGGGATATCTTGATTTCATGATCATATTTACAAGTTTTCGTGTTTTAAACTTATTCAAGTCGGGTCATTTTTAAAAAACAAATTCTAAGAAGTTATCTCAGCTATGTGACTCAGGTTAAATGTCCTTCAAAATTAAATTTACTTTTTATTGAGTTGATCTTGTCTTATGATCTGAGTTATGAGTTTGACAATTTAATCCAGTTGACTCAGTTTTTAAATTTTTTTAACTAACTATTTTTCCCTAATTTCATCAATTATTATTTTGTTTAATAGGAAATTAGGCTTCATGCTTTATTTTGATTTGTTATTTATTAGGTTATATTGATCTCATAACCCGAGAATAGTGCTAATTGATTAACTCGAGTTGACTTGGCTTATTTTCTGTGTTATTTTTAATTTAAAAATTTACAAGTTTCATTATTCAATATTAGGTCTGATATGATCAATTATGAATTAAGTTTCAATTTTTTTTATTTGTTTTTTAGAGGATTGTTTTAATCTTGTTACCTGTTGTAACCCAATTTTGGATTCACTAAAAAATTTTGAATGTTATTTTATCTTATTATTCATGAAAAAAAATATATAATAAATAAAAAAAGAGAAAAAAAAGAGTTTAAAATATATTTTCTCGAGTCAACCGTCATTTTCTGTCAAAACTGAGTCCACTAGGTCAATACGGGTTAAACGATGTCGACCGGGATGAAAAATGAGCTTCAGGGCGTTTCGGGTCAAAACCGTCATTTTCTGTCAAAACCAAGTCTATAGGGGCAATACGGGTTCCACCATGTCGACCGCGATGAAAAATGAGTTTCGGGCTATTTCGGGTCAAAACCATCATTTTCTGTCAAAACCGAGTCAATCGGGTTAATACGGGTCCCATCATGTCGACCGCGATAAAAAATGAGTTTTGGACTATTTTTGGTCAAAACTGGTATTTTTAGTCAAAAAAACCCGGTCCACCGAGTTGATACCCGTATAAAAAAGTTTTTTTTGTAATTTAAAATTAATTTTTAGCGGATGAAAAACTTTTTATAATACTGATTTAATTTTTTAATTTTTACCCCTATAAATAAATATTATTATTATTATTTAGTATTATTATATATAATAAGACAAATAGTAATCGGTGGAAGTTGAAAATTTTAACAATGCGTGATTTATTGTCTGCTTTCATTGAATTCAAGACACAGGGAGGGGGGAAGAAAAGATAAAAAAATCATTCTGTGCAATTGTGAATCGAGCATTACTGTTTGGTTACTATTTGGATACTATTTATTTTTCTTATACTTTTTCTGCACCCTAGATATTAAATTTTTTTTTAACAAATTGAAAAATACAAAAAATATCCCAACCGTTAGATCTAATAGTATTTAGATCTGAGCCTTTGATTTCTTAGGATACAATAGGCTTTACCACACCAGATTAAAACTCAAATCAATCTCAGCCTTTCAAATAATCTGCCCTTCGATCCGGTTGCGCCACGTCAGCAGGTGTATCAAGCACTCGGTACACTGCAACACACCAGATCGCAGCCCATTCACTTCTGACCGTTCGATCAACTTGAAGATCACATGAATCACAGCCGCACGATCTGTTCATCCGAGATCTAGCAGTTCATATCCTTCAGACGCACGAGCACACCATACACGCGTCCACACCATAGCACAACCCAGAGCTTCTCTCTCCTCTCACCGGCGATTCTCTCTCTCTCCGTCGATCTCCCATTTCCGGCCATCTCAAGCCGCGAAACCACCACAGAAATGTGAATCGCCTCCTCTGAAGCAAAACCCCGGCTGTTTTACACTTTTTCACCGGCGATTTTGGCTGCAAAAAGGCCGCGACCGACATCGGCCAATCGACCTTCAAGTCGTCGATTCTCCCTCCTCAGCCATCAACGGCCAACGAGACCACCACCATCAGAATCCCCGTCCTCAGATCCATAATCGACCATCTTTTGGCTGGAATCTCACCGGAAAATTTTGCCGCTGGCAACAGTAACACGCGTGAGCCACACGCGCCGCCAGTGGCATTTTCATAAATTTTCGATAAATCCGTGGGTATTTCAGTCTTTTGCCTATACAGGGGTACTCGGGTAATTTTTTATGATATTTTATGGTATTTTTTGATATTTTTGTATATAAATACTTGTAAATTTTTACATGGGAAAAAAAAAAAAACAAAAATAAACCAAAATAAATAATGACGCGGGTTTAACACCCATTTTATCATATCACTGTTCATGGGTCAAAAACCCAATTTTTAAGAATTGATATATCTATTTGTCAATGATATCAAAATAATTTTTATTTTATAAAATAAATATTATTTGTCAACACGTCTCTTTTATTTATAGAAAAGGACTGATATCAAAAATTTAAATACCAAATATGGATTATGTCTATTATTATTTATTTTGATAAATCAGACGTAACTCTCCTTTTTAGGGATAAACGTCGACATTTTAGACAAAGTCTCCTAATTTTAGGGACTGATGTCATTTTTAACGTGTCTCCTATTTTTAGGGACCGACGTTAACCATGTTAAAAAAATTTACAAACAAGCTCAAAATATAATAGCATTTGAATCAAAATAAGAAAAACACACAAGTAAAGGTAACCTTTCTCTGAAAGGATGTTTTAAGGGTGGTGTCTACCTTCCCTTAATCATAACTAACCCAGTACCCGAATCTCTGGGACCAGTGTCTAATTTTGGATTTCTAGTTCCCTCAAATTACTAGATGGCGACTCCAATAAAAATCTTTATTTCCCCAATCAAATAAAAAATTATTCTTTTTTTTGTTTAAAAAAAAACAAACAAAAAAGGAGTGGAGTCGTCGCCCGACGTTGTGTAGCGACATTACCAAAGTCACATATTTGGTAGATTAACCCAGGTTATATCAAGTTGTTTTTTTATTTTTTTCTATGAAGTTATTGATTAGTACTTAAAAATGCATTCTCATTAAGGATTTATGTCATCATATTGCACCTAAAGTATCATTAAATTCCCTAACAAAAGCATGTTTTATATTAGCAAGTCTAAAAATATAATATACCTTTAATTCATGGTAAATGTTCATCCTAAATGCAGGTCTATCACATAAATAAAAGGATTGATTGATGAGTTTAAGGATTGAAATTGAAAGGATAAAAAGAAGGCCAAACTTAGCAAAGTGTTGCTGGTGCATTCCAAACTCGAACACCGTTCAGTAATTTGATCATATCTGGAGCTGTAGATATCAGATTTAGGTCCATTTTATATCGATGGAAAGGTAAGACATAGACCTACAACTTTCATATGAAGTCAAAGACTCAGTTCTGCCATTTTCAAGCCCAAATCTTAGCAACAACGAAGACGTCGGAAGCTGTCCTGCAGCTCAAGCACTATTCGGTTTTTGGCTCATATCTTGAGTTCTAGAAGTCCAAATGAGCTCTGGTTTTTTTTTATGGAAAGCTGAGACAATTGCCCACAGATTCCACAATTCAGTTGGCTATAATTCTGATGTGAGCAATGACGTTTTGGCCAGCCAATAATATCAAAAATCAGCCCACAATATCAAAAAACCAGCAGCCATTAATGTCAAAAACCAGCCACCAAATCAATGGATGCCCACCAATTCTTCAATCAATCAATAGTTCTGAAACTTAGCCTATAAAAGGAGGCATTGTCCATGTATTTAGTCATATTAATTTTCAGATCAAAGTTATCTTCTTGCTTTCTCTCTACATCTTTGTAATGTTCAAGTTTTCTTTCATGCTATAGTAATCTCTTGTTTATGCTCTTTCATTTCCTTTCCTATACTTAGTTAGCTTATATTATGTTTATGTTCTTATATTGCTTATTTATGTTTTTCTCCTTTTTAATGTTTAGCTAAGTTAATTATGTCAAGGTGAAAAGGTTTCTCTAATGGTGTTAGAATAGGTATAATATAAACTCAACATGAGCTTTAAATGTTTATATCCAAGAAAGATTGTTATTAACATGTTTTATCTTTTTATCTTACTAATTCTTAATGCCTTGCTTATTAAATGTTTAATTTAGATTTGTGTTGTATAATATTTGGCACATCAAATGCTTGATCTTTCATAGTTTTCGGCCGAAATCGTTATTATGATAGAAACTTGATTTGTTGTTAACATAAACTAGCAACATGAATACTTGATGATATTTATAAGTATGGTATTACTTAGATAAGATAATTAATATGATCATGTTAGTAATTTATAATGAGCTAATAACGAGAAATCATCCGATTAGGACCTCCTTTGTGTGTGGTTTCTAGTTGAGTAATAAAAAGAGTTTATATTATATTTATTTGAAATACCATTAGTGAATCGTATAACCTTGACATATGTTTTATTATTGTTTAATCCTTACATCAATATCACATCCCAAAACTTTCTTCAACTCCTTTTCTGTTATTATTCTCTTCAAATCTTTTTCTTTATTTGTAATTTATATAATTCACCTCCCTGTGGTTCGACCCCGGTCTTGCCGGGTTATTTTACTTTGACACTCCTGCACTTGGGATAAGACATCAACTCTTTGATCGTGTCAGTTATCTTGGTCTCATGAGTTTGATGAATTAACTCGGGTTAATTTTTTATATATTTTTCTAATTGATTTATTATTTTAATCTCATTCTTAAACATTAGACAAATAGTGAATTGAATTTTTTTATTTGTTTTGATTTGCTTTCTATTGAGTTATCTTGGTCTTATGACCCGAATCGTGGGTTTGATAAATTATTCAGGTTACTTTTTAGGTTTTTTTTTTTAAATTGATTTGTTTCAATTTTAGTCTTCAACATTAAGTTAATTGAAAATTATGTTTCATAATTTGTTTTAATTTGTTTTTTATAGGGTTATTATAGTTTCATAACTTTGTTAGTGGGTTTAACATGTTAACTCAAGCTGACTAAAATTAATATGATATATTATTATTTTAATATTAAAAAATATTACATTGATTTTTTTGTTTAAAAATACATTTTTATGGGTTATTTGAGTTATTTTTAGACTTGTAAAGTCAACGGAGTCATCATCTCAACTCTCACTGAATTTAATTTTTTTTTATTAAAAAAACATTATATATATACACACACACACGAAACTTTACCCTACCTCCAACACAGTGTACCCTACCTCCAACACAGTGTGTCCATGAGAAGTAAACCTTGCATGCAAAAAAGCCCACCGTCAAATGAACGGTCATTCTCGTTTGGTGGAGGGCATTGCGAATGGCTACCCTCTACCCCAAAGGGCTATTAATTTCATGGGATTCCGTTTTCTCAGTTCCATTAATTGAAGTAACTGGTGTTTTCACAAGATAAGGTTTTTTTTTTTTTTTTCTTTAGAAATAAGGTTAGTGTTGTTTACAGTATTTTTCAGAACATTATTTTTAATATCAATTATAAAAGAAATTATTGTAGCAAATCAGAGAAGCTTTTGATTATTTTTTAATAATTAAATTTTATTAAGTTGATTTATTTACTTGGAAGTTAATTTAAGGATAATAATCTTGAAACTGTCTAAGCTTTTTATAAGAGATAATAATGTTTAAGCTTTTTATAAGAGATAATAATTTTGAAACGATAAAATATTAAGTTGATTTATCAACTTTAAAGTTAATTTGTTAAACTTAATTTTTAAACCAAGTCAACTTTTATAATAATTTTATAACTGTGTATTATTGTTATTGTTGTTGTTCTTATTATTATTATTATTATTATTATTATTATTATTTATCTTTACTTAAAAAATATAATATAAATTACTTTAAAATAAAACTGCCACATGAGTATTTTTTTTTCATTTTTTATTCACTCAGAAAAATAATTATTTCTGGAAAATATGCTAACATAGTCATGAACCGTTTACTGTAAATAGATCTGAGAAAGAATTCAATCAGTATATTGAAAGAGTTCGGAGAATATCCTCATTTCTTCACTACCCAGATTACTAGAACAAGAGAAAATTTGCCTTGAAATGTTTCCATTCTCCTGCAGATATTAATAACTAACCGAAACTGTATGCCTTTGTTTATTTAAACATGGATTCTCCGACTCGGAATCGCATATTCTTTGAAAGTCTAGCGGCGACAGGTTGCCACTTCGATGTCAAATCTCCTTCGCTAATCTCACGTGACCTTTGGCGATGTCCAAAGGCCACTTTACCACGTCATCCACTCCCATCTTTCCACGTGCCGTCCAAGTCATTTCCTCTTGTTTATCTTCCATGTCATGTCACTTTCTTTTACCCGTTTATTCCTCGGCTAATGCGAATCGCGTGTCTGCTAGCTCAGGTCAGCTACTCTATCTCTCTATCCTGGATTGACATATGTCCCTAGAATTCCTTCTAATAGATCGTCCTGGTCATGGTTTATTTTATTAACACCAAATCTATCCGGGCACGGCTTCTGAAATTATACTTGTATCAAATATAAATCTATCTAATCTTGATTAGGCGAGTTGTATTAATTATTAATCCACTCTATCAATAGGATGTATTAGTGATTTTGACTCTCAAGTACACTTATTTATATATAGCAACAACACACCCACGATTTGCATGTGTATCTTGCAATTCGTCACTCTGGTTGATTTTCCACATCTGACACCGTCAACATGGAGCACCGTGTGATGATAGCGTCAATAGTTTAATTCAAGACTAAATACTCGATAATTATTAGGATTAAGCTCGAGAGCCAATAATTATTCAAAAATAATTTAACTGTTACATTTTTTTTAAAGGTGTATATTAGGATTAGTATTTCTTAAAATTACAGCTAAGGAAACTTTATTTGTTTAATTATTATGTTAATTCCCCATTTCTTCTTCTCTCTCTCTCTGTTTTTTTTTTCAATTTACAAGCTAGCATCAACAGAGGAAAGAAAAGTGCTTTTAAGTAACTTCATCTACCACACCTCTCCCATGAATCTCATAATTACTAACCAGCACCTTCTTAGCTTTCTCCTTGGTCCATGTTCCTCTTGTTTCATGGCAAATAATCTAGCAATGCAACAAATGAACTCTCTTCCACCATCTTGAATGGCTCTCCCACCCCACATTCTGATCGTCTCGATGAGCTTCTGCACTCCACGTACATTCCACACATCAATCCGTAATAAGAGACTCTCTTCCTCGCGACATGATGATGCCATTTTTGTCATAAACCCAAAACCTGAGGCCAATATTACCCTTATCACATCCACCCTCAAGTGCCCATTTCTTTTGTTTAAGACAGCACTAGTAACTACAATATTATTCAATTAAAGTAACTTGGGCTTGTCTTCATATGAAACAAACATGGCATTTTTTTTTTAATTCAAACAATATATTTTAATTGGTCGTATTCATGCATTAAGATTAAAATTCATATAATAAAATGAAATAGTTTATAAAAAATATTGTTTTTCTAAATTCAAACTATTTTTTTAACTCACTCACTCATCTAGTCCCAAAATATTTTGATTTAAGTATGTGTTTGGATAAGATGTAAATTGTGTTTTTTAAAATAAAAAAATGTTTTTTTAACTTAAATAGTATGATTTATGTTAAAATAATTAAGATCAAATATAAAAAGGAGGCTAGAATTCTGAATAATCTGTATATTATGAATGTTTAACCTTAACCTAAATACAAATAAAGTATATATAGATTAAACTGAAAATACTATTCTACCCTTAATAAATAAGACTACATAAATATTATTTAACATCTCCCCTCAAACTCACGATGCGGCAGCTACAAGCATCAAGAGTTTGTCAACTAGAAAACAAAAACGAGAGATGGAATGTGCCTTGGTGAAGAAATCTGCAATCTACAAGGAAGAAGGAACAAAAGGCAAAGCAATGGTGCATGCTTGAGATGATGACGAGTAAGATGACAATCGATCTCAATGTGCTTAGTTCGCTCATGAAAAACCGAGTTGTGAGTAATCTGAATAGAACTCTGGTTGTCACAATACATAGGAGTAGGATGAGAAAAAGGAAACTCCCATATCAGCAAGTAACCACCGTAACCAAACAATCTCTTTAGTAGTAGATCCTATGGCATGATATTCTGCTTCGGTGGATGATTGAGAAATAATAGATTGTTTTTTGCTTTTCCAAGAAATAAGAAAATCACCTAAAAAGATACAGAACCCGGTAACAGACTTGCGATCTGTGGGATCACTACCATAATCAGCATCAGAGTATGCATGCAACTCCAAGGAAGAGGTGGATGAAAGTAAAAGACTCTGAAAAACTGTACCTAAAAGATATCGCAAAATACGAAGAACAGCTGCCCAGTAAACAGTAGTAGGAGAAGCAACAAACTGACTAACAACATGAACAACATATGCAATATATGGACGAGTAATGGTGAGATATACTAAACTCCCAACAATAGTGCGGTATAAAGTGAGATCTATCAAAAGTAAACCATCAGAAGAAGAGTACCTTGCGTTAACCTCAATGAGAGTATCTACAATTTTGTTATCAGTAAGTCTAGCCCGCTGAAGAATATCTACAACATATTTCGATTGAGAAAGAAGGTAACCTCTAGGTGAGTATGCTACCTCAATACCCAAGAAATATCGAAGATAACCCAAATCCTTCATTTCAAATCGTCTAGCCAACTCTGTCTTTGAAACTGAAATACCATCAATACCATCACCAGTAATAATCATGTCATCAACATATAAAGACAGAATGATACGACCTGCATCAGTGCACTTAATAAAAAGAGCAGAATCATGACTGCTAGGAACAAAGCCAAAAGATGAGATCATAATAGAGAATTTCTCAAACCAAGCACGAGGTGCTTGTTTGAGACCATATAATGCTTTCTTAAGCTTACAAACATATCCAGAGTCATGTGAAATACTAGGAGGGGGTGCCATGTAAACTTCTTCTTGAAGATCTCCATTCAAGAAGGCATTTTTAACATCAAGCTGAGAAATATGCCACTGACGAATCGAAGCTACGACAATAAGAGTACGAATAGTAGTCATTTTTGCAATCGGGGCAAATGTCTCCTCATAATCCATACCATATTGTTGAGAATATCCTTTTGCAACCAGCCTAGCTTTGTATCGCTCAATAGACCCATCAGAATTAGTTTTAATCTTATACACCCAACGACAACTAACAACACTCTTACCAGGAGGTAGAGGAACCAAATCCCAAGTATATGTCTTATGCAAAACAGAAAGTTCCTCATCCATAGCTTGCTGCCAAAGTGGATCAAGAATTGCCTCTTTATAGGAAGAGGAGACAATGAATAAAAGCTAAAAAAGAAGTAAATGATGAAGAATAACAAGAATAAGCAAAATCTGGTAGTTTTGTGGACTTACGAATGCGGATGGACTAACGTGGAGGTGGATCCATAATCTCAAATGAAGCTTGAGGGGTTGTAGATGAGAATGGAGTTTCAGGTGTGCTAGAGAGTAAAGTACTAGTACCTGTAGAGTTATGAGTACAAATTGATCGAACATGGGGAGAGGTATCATTACCAGAATCCTCGGAAAAGGGATCTATATGAATAATATCAGATTTAGTCATGTTATGAGTAGTGGATGGAATAGAAAAGAAAGGTATATGCTTAAGAAAGACAACATGACGAGACACATAAAGTTTCTGAGTTATTGGATCAAAACAACGATACCCCATTTTACCTTCACCATAACCCAGAAAGACACAAACAGCGGATCGAGAGGATAACTTACTGCGTTCTACATGAGGACGAAGAACAAAACAAGTACAACCAAAGACTCTAAATAAGGAATAATCAAGGACATATCCATATAACTTTTCAAAAGGAGATAGACCCGAACTATGAGAAGATGGAATTGTATTAATCAAACTTACTGTAATAAGAACAGCTTCTCCCTAAAACTCACTAGGAACAAAAGCAAACAATAAGAGAGAACGAGCAGTTTCGACAATATGCCTATGTTTTCTTTCAGCAACACCATTTTGCTCAGGAGTATCTGTACATGAAGTTTGATGGATGGTTCCATCTAAGGCAAGCAATTGGCAAAATTTATTAGAGGTGTATTCCCCACCCAAATCACACCTAAAGCATTTAATCATGGCAGAATATTGAGTTTTAATAAGAGCTCGAAAAGCTGTATATATCTCAAAGAATTCAGAACGATGTTTGATTAAATAAACTCAACAATAATGAGTATGATCATCAATAAAAGAGACATAATATCAAGACCCTCCTTTTATGGCAACAGGAGAAGGTCCCCATACATCAGAATGAATCAAATCAAATGGTGAAGAAGAAACAGAAATACTTCGATTAAAATGTAAAGCAGAAAATTTTGCTAATTTACATCCACTACAATCACAGATGTCACAAGTTTTTAAATTTCCTAAAGCTCCTGAGAATGCCAAAAATCTCAAACGAGAAGACGAAACATGACCTAGACGGGAATGCCATAAATAAAAACTAGACAATGAAAGACTTAAACGAAAGGAAGACAAATCAATAGTAGTAGTAGCGGCGGCGGCAGTAGCAACTGGCACTTTTAACTCATCCAAAATATATAGTCCATTCTCCCTACGGCCTGTCTCAATCAGTTTCTGAGACTATAGATCCTGTACACAACAAAAAAAACCTGAAAACATGACTAAATAATCACCAGAATCACATATTTAACCAACAGATGCAATATTCAATTTAAGTTTTGGAATAAGATAAACATTAAGGAGAGACAAGTGAGGTGTGACAACAAAACCAACATCTGCTAAGGGCATAGGAGTGTCATCAGCAGTCATAACAGGAATGGAGGATAAAGGGGACACAGAGGTAAAAGATAAGGAATCTGGAGACATATGATGAGAAGCACCAGAATCCAAGATCCATTCAGAGTGTGACATACCTGAGGAACTATGAGGCAACTGACCTATGGAAGAAGAAGCGGACATTGCTTGTGGCTGCAAGGAGAGAAACTTCTGAAATTGCTCAGCCAAAGTATTGGGATCGGTAATAGAGCCTGGGGAAGTTACTGCTGCAGTATTATGGTGTGATGGTTTATAACCCTGAGGTGGTCTATGAGCAATAGGTTGTGACTGACTGCCAAACTTCCAAGCTTGATTTTGTTGTCTCAACTTATAACACTAAGCCTTCCAATGACCTTTCTGCTTACAGAAACTGCACTCGTCGAAGTCAACCCTTGTGTAAGGTTTCTTCTGATGATTAGAGAATGGCTTCGAAGGTACTGCTAATACTGAAGGATTCGAAGCAGAAAGAATTCCCTTTTCAAAATAAGATTGAAGACGTATTTCTTCAGCTAATAACTCACTCACAACAGAGTCAACAGAAGGCAGTGGAGAAGGATACAGAATTGAACCTCTAAGTCCTTCGAAGTCATTACGAAGTGCTGTTAAAAATTGTACTAATCGTTGCTGCTCTCTACGCTCAATATAGGCACCACATGCCTTTAATTCTGCCAATTCTGTAAGAGCCAATTGATACCAAAGATCTGCCATGGCAGAATAAAACTCTTGAATACTCATATTCTTCTGATGAAGAGCTCGTCTGTCATTCTCTAATTGATACTGTTTTGCAAAATTTGATTGTGTGAATAACCTTTGCAGATGATCCCAAACCTCTTTTGTTGTCTCATACTTCGCCAACTGTGTGCCTATCGAATGTTCAACAGAATTGTTGATCCAAGTAATGATTTTTGCATTATTTGCCTTCCATGTATCTATCAAAACAACATCCCTCTCCTCAATGTTCTTCTGTATCATATAAGTTCCACTAACATACCCCCACATCTTCTTACCTTTAAGAAAATTTTTCATTACATAGCTCCAATATGAATAGTTCTTCCCATCCAACCTCACACTCACAGACTGAAGCGAATCATCTCTTTCAGTAGCCATAATCAACAATCACAGAAAACTAGAATGCAAAAGCAGCGGAAAACCAAATACCAAATTGCAGAAACTGAACAGAAAATCAGAAACTAAAGAAATATCTTCTCACTACTATACAATTACTCTAAAACACAAAACAAATTTGCAGAAATTGAACGCAAATACCAAATTGCAAAAGCTGAAGGGAAGACAAAATACCAAAATAATTGCAGAAATTGATGAAATACCAAATTTTGCAGAAGTGGAAGACAAAATCTCACTCCAAAAAATTTGATATTTGCGTTTTGGAGTGAAGCTGTGTTCGGGATTAAGCCTCGTTCTATAGAACCAGCTCTGATACCATGTTAAAATAATTAAGATGAAACATAAAAAGGAGGCTAGAATTCTGAATAATTTGTATATTATGAATACTTAAACTTAACCTAAATATAAATAAAGTATATATAGATTAAATTGAAAGTACTATTCTACCCTTAATAAATAAAACTACATAAATATTATTTAATAATTTATACTTAAAAAATATTATGTCTTCATGAAAAAATCATTACATCTCCAAACCAAACACACTTATTATTGAAATGGAATGATTCCAAGTCAAAAGGATGGATTGAAAAAACAAAACAAAAAAAAACGTTGTAAAGATGTGCATTGAAGTTGATGTAATGCACACACAGCAAATACTCTCCCCGCTAATATTTTATTTAGGGGAGGTTAACGAGCGAGGGTACGAATTTACACCGTCTTGATTCTTATGGGTGCGCACTACGCCTCTAAACAACTTATATATTTAGAGAGCAGCGGGAAGGGAAGCCAAAAACCCATTCAAAAAAAACTCACAACGCAGCCTCTCTCTCTTCAGCACCAACTATAAAATATAAATCCATAATATTAAATTAATTAAACCTTAATCCACTCTTAACCCTCCCCTTAATCTCCTCTTAAACCTACTTAGCGAAATAAATAAATAAAATTCGCAACTTCTCTCTCTGCATTTAGCTTTATTTATTGTTTTTTTTGTTTGTAGTGATGAGAGCTGAGGCTGCAGAGTGAATGAGAACACGAATACGACATTGTCTGATTCGGTGTTACAAGGAAGGCAACAACAGCAAAGGATGCAGCAGAAACTTGAGGTTTATAAGGAGATTCTTCGTCGTCTTAAAGAATCTAATCACGAAGAAGCTAATCTACCTGGTTTTGATGATCAACTCTGGACTCACTTCAATAGCCTCCCTACCAGGTACGTGTGTGTGTGTGTTAGCTTCCCCACATGTACGTGTATCTATACGATATATTTGTATGTATGTGACTTGGTGTTGCCTCTTCGTTACGGAAATGAAAATTTTGTGTGTGTGTGTTAGTTTCCGCACATGTACGTGTATCTATACGATATATGTGTATGTATGTGACTTTGTTTTGCTTCTTCGTTACGGAAATGAAAATTTTGAGTGTTTTTTTTTTAATTTGAATTATTCGTTTTTTCTTCGTCTTTTTATTTTGATCTTTCGCAGGATAATTCTCATTTTGGTACCTTTTGTGGTGTAGATATGCGTTAGATGTGAATGTGGAGAGAGCAGAAGATGTGTTAACGCATAAGAGATTGCTGCGTTTGGCTCACGATCCTGCTAATCGACCGGCGATTGAAATTCGCCTTGTTCAGGTAACGTCTATCTACTGATTTGTTATGTTTTTTATATTACCGATGCTTCTTGATAGTAATTTGTGAAGATTTGATTATGAACAGAATTTGCGATTGATTAGGCTGTAGATTTTAAGACTACGCGAGGATTTGTTCATGATACAAGTTTTCGGCAGGTGTTTTTAGGTCTTGAAGGATCCTATCTTTTGTGGAGAATTTGGAGTTCGAAGTTTTGTGTTTTTGTGTTCATCAAAATTGATTTTTTTTTGGTTCCACATTGTTGATGTAGAAGTAAATGTGATATAACTATAAATATACGAGTATAATACTGGTTTAGTTACTAGCTATGAAAGGAATCTTCTGTAAACAGGTCCTCAAATGAGTGCTGCATTTCACACTGTGAGGCTGGTTTGATCTGTTTGAGTTCAATAAACGCAGCTGATTTTTGCCAAATGTGGATTGCAAACCTCGTTTGCATTTGTTATCTTCTTTTCTTGCATTGAGTCTTGTAAACTTTTTAATTTATCAAGTGCAATCAACTGCATCTCCCACATGCAGGTTCATCCTACTTCCGATGATAATTCTACTGACTCTAGCCTTCAAGACTCTCCTAGTAAGGAAGCAGCTCAGAGAAAGAAGTATGCTGTTGAGATCATTATCTGTCCTAGAATCCTCTTAATCCATGCATATTGTGATTTTGACGGCTCCAATCAATAAGTTTCATTAATATTGCTGACATTTTTATCTTGTTGTCAATTGTCAGCTTGCATCCACCGCCAGCCTTTGGTTCATCACCTAATCTTGAAGCACTGGCACTTGAAGCAAATAAATTTGATGATCAAGATGGTGATAATTCTGAGTATGCTGATTCAAATTTCTTCAGGCAATTCTCTCATTCAAAATGCTGTTGTGGTAGAGTTAACTTGATTCCAATAAGGATCTATCTGGGGTTTTTGCCCTTTTGTTAGTTCACTTTAACATTTTATTTTGAAAAATTTTAACAAATATCATTTTTATATTAATCGTTATCTTTAATCGACAGACTTGAGTGAAAATCAGAATTCAGATGAGTTTTTAATCCTTGAATATGGTAGGGTAATGGGCTCTCTTTGTATATGAGATCCTATATTTGAAATGGCGCGCAATCTGATTGAGCATGCCATTGATTATGCACATTTCTAAACATGTATACATGATTTACTAGATTTGGATCGTGAGGTTTACATTATTTTTCTTATTGGCAATGATGTAGGCCCACGCATGAAATAACTTTTTCGACCTATGACAAGCCAAAACTCCTGAGTAAGGTAAGATAAGCATGCTTGCTGAAATAAGCCAAGCACATTTTATTTCTCAAACATTGTTTCAATTTGCTGGGGAAAATCTTCTTTTATTCTGCTGCTTCTTTCAATTTGGAGGCTGTTTTGGTATTCAATTTGGAAGAACTGCAAACAAATTTGAGGTCTGCGTTGGTGTCTGATACTGCTAAAATTTAATGAATTTGTCGTTTATTGTGCTTCTAGTTATTTATGAGGTCATTGGTGTTTCGCGAATTTACAGCTGACTTCCTTACTTGCTGACATTGGGTTGAACATCCAAGAAGCGCACGCATTTTCGACAGTTGATGGCTACTCCTTAGATGTATTTGTTGTTGATGGTTGGCCATATGAGGTACTTGCCATACACACCTTTTATTACATAAGGCTTCCATTAATCAGGAACATATTTGAAATACACAACGAACTTGATCCATTAACAGACTGTTCATAATTTTCAGGAAACGGAGCAGCTCAGACAAGCGTTGGTAAAGGAATTTTCCAAGATTGAGGTAATTCCCTGATTTGATTTGTAGTGATGGCAAGTGTCTTCTTATGGAGTTTGCAGCTTATAATAAATCTGGGTTTCTCTCACTCACAATGCTCACTGTTGAATGTGGTGTTCTACAAGAGTTTTTATGAATTTATTTGTACTTGAATTGATTATATTTTCAGTCTCTTGATTTTCTTGTTTCTTGTTTAGTGAAGATTGTCATATTATTTGATGAGGATCAGGCAAGCTTTGCATGACCCTGCAAGTAGAATATTCTCTTCTAACCAATGGTCTGTTTGCTAAAATGATCATCTCAAATTGAAGTTAATTATATCTAAAGCCAGTGAATTGGGCGGGATGCAATGAAATGTTTTATAAATTGCTTTCCAATATTTGATGTAATTTCCTTCATCCAGTTTCAGATCTTTTTACCATTTGGTTATTTTATGGGGTTGAGGAGGGGCTGCTGTAGGTAGAAATAAAACTTAGTCACAAGTTAATTAGTGATAAGAAAACTAAAGAAGGAGTTAAATTAAGGAATTCCCAATTAGCAACTCATATAGTACTGGAAATGGGCAAGAGTAGACCAGGATTGCAATAGACTAGGCCATGAATTGAATAAGAATTTATCCCGATGATTAAGTTGTCTGTTAGGAACCTTGTTTTGTTGATATGTATTTTTTATCTTCATCATTTTAAAATAGTTTCATCTATTTCTTCCACGAGCAACCTCCTCAAATTAGATGATATGCCTTGTATATGACAAGCATAACGCTCCTAGCAATGTTTTGAATATGGTAGAACGCATGTAACTGAATTTATTTCAGGAATAATTCACCATAGCTAGGTTGCTGATGGGTACCATTTTGAAGTTCTTGATTTTGCTTCTGCTTATTCTTTAGTTTTCCAATGCAACAAGATAATTGATAATAATTGATAGTGTCTAGTTTATGCCATAATCTCTTCACCACATCAATTGACTACAACAAATTTATGTTTTTCCTTGTGTGGTTTCATTCATTGTCATGTTTCGATATGCATTTCAATTTACTTTTAATGTGTTCACAGGATCACGAGCAATTTAGGACCAAATACGATACTAATCATGTTACAATACCGAATGACGGGACGGATGTGTGGGAAATTAATCCTAAATATTTGAAGTTTGAGAACAAAGTTGCCTCTGGATCATATGGTGATCTGTAAGTTAACTGTTTTTTAGATACAATTTCTGTTGATGTTTGGTTTTTTATTCAACTGTTTCATCCCATTTGCTTAGGTACAAAGGTACATATTGTAGTCAGGAAGTGGCTATCAAAATTCTCAAGCCTGAGCGAGTAAATTCAGACTTGCAGAAAGAATTCGCCCAAGAAGTTTACATTATGAGGTCTGACAAAATGTCTTCAGCTACGTAGTTTTTCTACAACTCTAGGTTGTTTCTTGGGTTTGGTGTTTCCTTGTTTTTACATATTCTTTGAACCTGTAGGAAAGTTCGACACAAGAATGTTGTACAATTTATCGGTGCATGCACCAAGCCTCCAAGTTTGTGCATTGTAACAGGTAAATGTCACTGAGTTTTGAAACATTTGTTATGATTATTTATTCCTCGTATGAATTTCTTTCTTTATTTTCTCCCATTCAAGATTTTGTTTAATTTTTCATCTCCCATTCAACATTTTGTTTCTTAATTTTTCTTTTCTTGGTAAATAGAATTCATGTACGGAGGAAGTGTCTATGACTACCTACACAAGCAGAGGGGTGTTTTTACGCTGCCAAGTTTACTTAAAGTAGCAATAGATGTTTCTAAAGGAATGGATTACTTGCACCAAAATAATATAATCCATAGGGATTTGAAGGCTGCAAATCTTCTCATGGATGAAAATGAAGTAAGATTCTTCTTTGCCATATTTCATTTTTTCAGCAAGTGCTTTGTTTACTATTCGATTGGCTTCAGTGATGTTTTTTACCTAGTCTTTTTCATCCTCCTCCACATCTTCTACTCTCATCACCATGATCAAGGAGGAAGATAAATCAAATTCAACTGAAGCTTTGTACCGTATGTGTATCTATAAGAAACATCTGTTCATTTCATTTCAGGTAGTCAAGGTTGCTGATTTTGGTGTTGCCAGAGTGAAAGCTCAGACTGGAATTATGACTGCGGAAACTGGGACCTATAGATGGATGGCTCCTGAGGTATACCTTTGTTTTCATTACACCTTATTCTGAAAAGTGTTCCCAGCTTTACCAATATCCTTCCCAGTACTAGTGTGCAAACTATCTTGGCATTAATCTTAGTGTTTAATTTGCTTCTTGCTGTCACCGAGAGAGATCACTTGTTTACCATTGTTAAATAATCCATAGCTTTCCCCTCCCGTCCCCCATGATTCTTGTTGAAACTTTGAGGCATCATTAGTTGTGCTGGTGGCACCCACCATGCATCTTCTAAATGGTTCATCTCGCAATTTTCTTACACCTTTTATCTTGCATTGAAGGTCATTGAACACAAGCCGTATGACCACAAGGCTGACGTATTTAGTTTTGGGATCGTGTTATGGGAGTTGTTAACTGGAAAGGTGCTGCTGGTCATTTTCGTGTAATATCCCTTCGCTTTTTAGTAAGTTTCTCTTGCAAAATTGATCATTTTTGCATATTTGGCTTCCCAGATTCCATATGAATACTTAACCCCTTTACAAGCAGCTGTTGGAGTGGTTCAAAAGGTAAAAATCCTTTTCAACAAGCATTTTTTCCCCTATTTCATATGATGAGTCCATGATTATAAGAATTTGTGTGGTGATTTTCATTCACGTGGTTTCAGGGTCTACGGCCTACCATACCCAAGAATACTGAACCAAAGCTTGCCGAACTGCTAGAAAAATGCTGGCAACAGGATCCAGTTCTAAGGCCTGACTTCTCGGAGATAATAGAGATCCTGCAACAAATAGCGAAAGTGGTATTTAGCAATTCTAGTTTCTGCTACAAATGGCTTTATATATCAAATATGTTTCTGTACATGTTCATCACAAGCAATAAGACTAGCGAGTTTTTATAGCAGGTTGGGGATTATCGTCTGGCCAATTTCTATCTGTGCTCAGGAGGAAGTAAAGGGAAGTCTTGCAGATGCTCATAACCTGAACAACAAGCTAATCGAACCTGCCATTTTCCATCCTTCTCATTACCATTACTGTATATTATTTTATTTGTCAATCCTACCTATCACCTTACCTATATATTTTAGCTGTGGAGAGTTGCAATCTTTTGGCGCGCCTTTCAAATGAGATATCAATGTCTGCGAGACAATCATGTAACTCTCGCAGCTCCTCGTTTCAAGAACTTGGGGAAAGAGAAGAAAAGGAGGAGAAAATGTGGTTTTGTTTGTAAAATAGACTTTTGATCTCGGGAGAAAATGTACTTTTGTTATTTTGAGAGAGCTTATTTCTGCTTTAATTGTTGATGGTCCCTTGTGTCCCGTTGAGTTAAAGAGTGTTTTTTTTAAAAAAAAAAATTTTTGGTGTTGGAATTTTAGGAGGGAAAATGCCAGCATTTTTTATTTCAAGATATTTTAAATTTGAATAGCTTCTTTGTAATTAAAAGAAAATAATTTTGTTGATTTAGAATGACAAATGATTGTGTATTTTGTATGATTTGAGTTATATTTTATTGCTTCTAACTGTTCTTGTATTTTTTTTATCGTGTTAATGTCTTAGATAGCCCCAAATCTACTTCCAATATTTCTAGATATTTCTGTTCTTTTCTTGTTTCTTGTGAAATATTCATTTTAAAGCTTTTGATTCTATTTATACTTTATTAGAGATGGGATAATTAGATCGAAACAATTTTGTTGGGCCTTATTTTTCTAATCGTGATTTGAGCCTTTTAGTAAAATCCAACCCATTACAATCTTTTCAAAAAGCCCACAATAACTCTGGCCTTCACGGTTGTGAGTACAAATAGAAAAACAAAAAACTTTCAACGTGCAAGTTCCTCCAACCCTCCGTACCTCCCTGTTTTTGTAAGTTCCAGTTCCATCCATGGACACGCTAGTGTGGTGTCACCAAAAGATAAACAACCTCGCTCGTACCAGGGAACCAACAACACATCTGCCACCGTCAACAACCACTACCTTATTTTTCACAGCCGCCGCTGCCACTACCACTGGATTTATCAACCAAATGTTTAGCAGCAACTAGCAAAGAAGTCCAGCGCTTCTTCTCTACAGTAGTCCCCACCATCACCAAAGGAGCGACTTCAGCTACTAGCCGTTTGATCAAGAAATTTGTAGCATCATCACCGGAATCAATTGCTATTGGTGCACTCTCTCATCTTCTTTCTCCTGACTTCACTCACCCTCCCTTCCCCTCCCACTCTTCCTGTAAGTAATAACCTGCCCATAGCAAAGTGATTCCAGCAGAGAGCACAGTGGTTTGTGGATCAGGAAGTCATAGCAGTGTTAGGAGGGGAATCTCCAGTTAAATAAAATCTATAGTTAAAGAGATAATGGCTCAAACGAGAAGTCCAATGGGAACAGTTAGCTGAGGGAAAGATGTCAAGGAATGGCTACGTTAGCAGATGGATGAGCAAGTTCACCATCTACTAATCACAAGTTTCTTTTGGATTTTTATGTCATTGGAGATTTCCTTTATCCCCGTCTCTTGTTTACATATACCAAGAAAATATACATGGAACTGCAGAACCATGACGTCCTCAGACAAGAACTGGAATGAGCTACATAAAAGAGTGAAAAACTAGGGCATCTTGAAGCGCAGCAACATGCAACAGTGTATTATCAATAAGGAGGGGAGATTGGCGATCGGTTTCTTCTATGTGCAAAGTGGGCAGTCATATCTGCTCAAAAGAAAGAGTACAGGACGATATAGCCTATATACAGAGAGCTGATGAAACGCTGGCAGCACTTCAAGAGGATACAAAGGATAATAGGAGAAGTTGAGAGAGGCATGCGGTGAGCAACTTTTAGTTCCTGCAAAAGTTCTGCTCCACTCTTCCCCGTGAAGGTTGTAGAATCTCTCCATGCATGTCCAATCCCTTGTACTTCATCAAGGGTCAAAAATCTAGTCCTTAAACTGAAACATCTTCGTGAAAGAAAAATCTTCAACATGCTTTTCCTGACAAATTGCTTCACATTATAACCTCAGAAATGAGATCCACATGTATAAAATGCACACTGTACCTTACGAGTATTGCTCCCAGGGTTAAGCTACCGGTGATAAACAATAACTTAACTATGTCACGCAAATTTTAGTTTTTTGGTTCTTTTGCCAAGCAAGATAGTAAATATTTCAAAAATTTAGGAGTTTTCTTGATGCATTTTAGATGTCCATAAATTTATGGATTTGGTCTAAGTTTAGTGGTTTTTTTAGATATTCCAAAAGATGGTTGGTAAGTGGAAAATTTTCCAATAGGCTGTGAAATACCTGGTCAAAAAGTTCAAGCAATGACTCCTCAAAACCAAGGCATCCACCATATGTA